AAAAAAAAAAAAAAAAAAAAAAAAAGAAAAAAAAAGAGTAAACATAGACTGAGAGAGAATGGGCAAGTGATTTGGTCTTCTCCACCGTCCTCCATGCTATTTTGGACATAAAGTAATGGTTTAGAGTTCTCATTTTGTGTGAAATTTGCATATTTCTGTAGTTTATACAAAAGTGTTGATGTGGAAATGTCTGTTGATGAAAAAGGCTTCAACGATCACATTATTAGAGTTGCATCAGTTTGGTGTTGTTGTGGTGAGATAGAGATAGAAATAGAGATAGAGAAATCACTATTTGATATACTTTGCCAGCTAGATTGCAACGACGGGTGTCGGGTTCGAGGGAGTTCTTCATTATATGGCACATGAATTTCCTGTACAGAAACATGGATGTAGTAGTAATGTCTTGGACTTCGGTGGTTTCTTTAGTTTTTTTTATCAGTTTGGTTTCGTACTCTTGTGGGGTGAGCACTATTTTTCATCCATTGGAAGACATGCTCGTGCTCTTCCCCCTTTTTGATGGCCCCTACCCTTTTCTTTGTTTGTCACTCACATTTTGCTAGTTATGCAGTTTAGTATATACATACACACATATAGATATAAGTCGAGTGAAAAGATTTATAAGAATAGTAATCCAAAACCAATCTTAAAATGCCCGAATCAAATAAGAATTGACTGACTTATTATTTAGTTTCTTTTTCTTTTTTTTTTTTGAAGAAAATGGAATTCGGGAATAGGGATGAACGAGATCATTCAGAGACATTTAATACTATCGGTTTAAAATGATTTTTGAAAGGTATATTTAACTGAAAGTATTTGTTCTAAAAGTAAAAAAGTATGTGTGTTTGTGAAGAAAGTATTAATTTTTAGAATTTTTGAAATCAATTCTAATTATAGAGCAGAAAAAAGAATTTTAAAACTGTTTTTTATTGTTGAAAAGTCATTCAAACTCATATTCAATGTTTTTTTTTTTTTAGTCAAGAAAATTTTAGAACTACTTTTAAGAAAGTGAATAGCATCTTTTGAATTTTTAGAATCACTTTTAAATATTTTAGCCTTTCAAAAGACCTACTTTCGGATATTGCCCTATGTCTAGACACGTGGTAAATTTACTTCACCGAAAGTAAAATGCTTTTCACTGCGAAGTCGGTGACGCACTGACAGCTCACCACGCTGTTTGGCCTTTCTTATAACGTGGCGTCATTCTATTGGTTGGGTAACTCAAATACAGAGGTGATCGTTGGTCTGTCACGGTCCAAACTATAATACCAAATTACCCACAAAAAAGAAAAGAAAAAAAATGTTCAAATTAGATATCAAATCTTTCAGTAACGCATCAAGTCAAAAGGAATTGGAATTTGCTCTCTTCTTCTGCTGTTACCTTGTGTTTGTTATTTTTTTTAAAAAAATTATATACTCGGACAATTAAAGAAATTCAACCACGTAAATATAGACTTAAATTTTAGTCGATATAATGACTTAACTAGTTGAGTTATGTTTCTAAATATTATCCTGAAGCTCATAACTCTATTAATTCGTGTATAATTAGAATAAGAGACCTTAAATTCAAACTTCTATATTTTAAAAGCAAAATCATCCAAGGAAGAAAGTTTGTTATTTATGATACATGGAATTCATGTATACCCTTCCAGATAATCTAGAAGGATCGGATCGGATACTTATATACTCGGCCACGAGTTCATTTACAGATCATGATCATGGTGGCCGAGAAAGAGGAGATCCATAGCATTTTTCTTCTTGCAACCCCAACGGCATTTCATGGAACACATGGAGTTGAAGAGGGACAACCTTGTAGATTGCAGAGTTATAACGTTTGAGGTTGAAGGAGATTTGGAGAGCACAATTGCATAACCATCATCCATGTTCTCAGTTCCTTCAGGAAATAGCTGCCATACCAGGCTTCCTCCCCCACTCCCTCCTTTCTTTGTTGAATCCAACAGGGTCTTGTACACTGAGTTAATGAATGCATCTCGGAAACTTGAGTTGTATCCCGGATCTTTCGACGAGACCCCGAACTCGGCGAAAATGACTGGCATTCCAAGGTACTTCTCTGCATCCTCTATGTGAGCCTCCATCCATGATTTTGTGAATTGAAGTTGGGCGTCCGAGATCGTTTGAGAAACCCTTTGACAATGAGTTAATGTTGTAATCATCAAAGTTGTAACGTTAGAAAAGAAAAGATTCTAGTTCATATCATGTTTAATGAATGTTTTGGCAACAAACCATGTGTCTGCATAAATGTGAACTGAAGCAAAATCAACACCAAGAACTTTATGGTTTCTGATGAAATCAGTTCCAACTTGTTGAGCATAAGTATTTGGATTGAACTGAACTCTGTTGGGTGTGGATGGGCCATAAAATCCCTCCAAACCAACTTCCAGTAAGTGCTTTGGATCCATGCTCTTCACATAGACAGCCATTTCTTGAATCCATCCCTGCCAATGCCAATGCCATTCAATAACTTCAATTTACAATATTGGTTGCTCAGATGCACCACAATTCCACCTCTTTCTTTTCAAGATATGAACTATGGGGCTATGCAAAATGGCAGTTATAGAAAGCAAACCTGAAGTTTATCGCCAGAAGGATCTGACGTGCAACGAGGTTCGTTCATCAATTCCCAGGCGAAAATGGTTGGATCATCTTTGTACATGACATTTGTGAATGAATTCACTCTATTAAGCACCGTCTATACCATTCACATGGGGAAAAACAGATATCAGTTTCATGCTAACAATAGAATGATTGATTCAATTCAGTTGATGTATTAAGCAAAGAAATATGTGTTGGGAAGTTGGCAACTCGCCTTAACATGAGCCTTGTAGTAGCTTCTGACAGTTGAATCAGAGAAGAAATCGTCATCAGATGTCAAGTTGAGGCCAGCAGCTTTCCCCCATTTCACATATTGTGCTTTGCCACCATATGCTTCCCAATTGTTTGCTAATGACAATATAAGTCTTATCTTATACTTCTTTGCTTCACTAATCACAAAATCTAATCCCTGCCATTCATTAAAATGAAAGGAAGTTACATAGGGATGAATGGAATTTATGATTGTACAGTTTGGCACATGCACGGCCATCATTCTAATACAGGCGTAAAAAGGAGTGAATATGTTGAAATACAATGTGAGGTCCCACATCCGTTGAGGAGGAGAAGAAGTCATTCTTTATAAGGGTGTGGAAACCCCTCCCTAGTAGACGCATTTTAAAAACCTTGAGGGGAAGCCCAAAGAGGATAATATCTACCAATGGTAGGCTTGGGCTATTACAAATGATATTAGAGCCAGACACCGGGCAATGTTAGCGAGGAGACTAAGCCCGAAGGGGAGGGGGTGGACATGAGGTGGTATGCCAGCGAGGAGGCTGAGCCTCGAAGGGGGTGGACAAGAGGCAATGTGCCAGCAAGGGCGCTGGGCCCCGAAAGGGGTCGATTGGGGGATCCCACATCGATTGGAGAAGGGAACGAGTGTCAGCAAGGATGCTGGCCCCAAATGGGAGGGAAATTGTGAGATCCCACATCAGTTGGGAGGAGAACAAACTATTTTTTGTAAGGGTGTGGAAACCTCTCCCTAGTAGACACGGTTTAAAAATCTTGAGGGGAAGTTCGAAAGGGAAAGTCAAAAGAGGACAATATCTGCTAGCAGTGAGCTTGGGCCGTTACACATAACTTCTATGTTTGTTTTCATAATAGATTTAAGAACTATGATCGAGTGGCTAGTAGATGTTACTCTTGTTCTTAAAAATGGAAAGCTGTTTTGTAAATAACTCCTAATGAATAGCCTTGAGTACCTTGAAGACTTCTTCATCATACACAGAAGGAGACTTTTGAAGAGCTCTCCACTGGCCATCATTGAATGCCCATGTCCTACAAACTGTTAAACCCACAGAAGCAGCTTGTTTAAACAAATCTGTGACCTTTCCTCTCGTGGATTGATCCGCTGCAAATATCATCAACCAGTATGTGTTGAAACCATTAACATAGAACGGTTGGCCATCTACTACAAACTGGTTCTGCCTTGTCTCCACCATACTCCATGGATCATCTTCCTTTTCAACCACTCCATCAAACCTATATTGATGAACAAAAAACAAAAATGTACCCTTAAATGTTATTTTGGTCCTAAACTTTCATACAATTATGGTCCCTAAATTCCATATAAAATTATGTTTTGGTCTTGTCCTGTGTCACGAAATTGAGTTTTAAACATCTAAACAAAAGATGTGAAGATCAAGCTAAAACATCTAAACAAAGATCAAAGGAAATAACTGTGGGACCAAAGGAGAAAAGGGTATAACAACAAAGTCGAGCAGACAAAAAGTAATAGTTACCCATGACTCAAATGATTCTCAGTTGTATCCTCAACCAAGAGATCAAATTGCTGATTATTCCCAACCCCATCACCCTCAACAGTGAAGACAAAAACAGCAATCAGAAAAATGAGTTTTAAACTGAGAATTGTGTAATGAACAGCCATTGTTTTGATTTCTCAAAGAGAAATTTACCACACTTTTGAACCACCATTTCTCTTGGTATATATAGAAGTATTTCAGCTACATTAACATTAGACGCAACAGAGCATTTCAGGAAAGAGTTAAACCGTTCCAATTCTTTGAAGGCAAGAAAATTTACATAATGATATCAATCGTTTAATCTTTCAGTTTCAGATATGGCAATGGCCGTAAGAGTAAAGATGCAAACGCTATCACTTCTAAGCAACGTTCTTCTAATAAACTGTAAATGCATACACAGGGCAAAGACGTTAAAAGGTTACCGCCATTGATTATTTATTTGAAGCATGAAAGGAATTTGTCGTTACTGTAGTAAGTGGTATGCACAGTGAAATCACTGTTCTGAGTGGGTCAGAACGACAAAGGTACGGAGCATAGCAATGGCAAGTGGGTGGGCGGTGTGCCCAACTCAGCCGGAGCCGCTGAAACTCACTGCTCCTTTTCTCTTTTCATCCTTCAATTTCCTCTCATTAAATGCAGCTCTTCGCTCCCCAACTTTGCACCATATTCAAATCAAAATCCATCGCCGGAAATTGATTTTCTCTCTCCTAGGGCTTCGATTTTCGATTTCTCTGTCATTATGGCGAAGAATGCAGCGGAACGCGGCTCGTTCTCGGCGAAGGACTACCACGATCCGCCACCGGCGCCTCTCATCGATGCCGTGGAGATTACGAAATGGTCGTTTTACAGAGCTCTTATTGCGGAGTTCATAGCCACTCTGCTTTTCCTGTACGTCACTGTGTTGACGGTGATCGGCTACAAATCGCAGACGGATCATATCGGCAACAAGAACGTTGATCCTTGCGGTGGCGTCGGGATTCTTGGCATTGCCTGGGCGTTTGGTGGAATGATCTTCGTTCTTGTTTACTGTACCGCTGGAATTTCAGGTTCTTCTTTCTCCGTTTCTTCGGCTTAAAGTTGAAGTATTGAAATTCTTTTTCCAGTTTTTTTTTTGGTTGAGAGTTCATGATATTATCATGCACTTTGTTTACGTTATTCCATTTGGCGCTTACACATTATTTATTTATTTATTATTATTATTATTATTTTGTGGAAAAATCATTTTTAAATCAATATTTTATTGATTTTAGATCCTCATTTTAAAATTTATAACCAGATGAAAATGTAGACAAAAATATCAAAATTCGTATGTAATAGAAATATTTATAAAAATTTTGAAAAAAAAAAATACTGATTGAAATTCCTATAAATATCATATTTTTATTTAATTTTTTTAAAGTATATACAAATTATGCAAATTTGAATAAAACTGAAACAAAATCCAAATATTCCTTCTCATTTATTAAACTATAGTTTATATATAGGAAATTATATATTAATTTTATTATTATCTTTTTCCATTTAAAGAAAAACTTTTAATATTTTAAGTTTTTCCTGTCAATAAACCACAAATTAGAATTAAGTTCAACAAACATATTTAATCTCCGATATAAATATATAATATTGTGATGTTAATATTGGTCGGAGAAGAGAACAAAACACTCTTTATAATGGTAGGAAATTAATGGTGTAGAAACCTTATCCTAGCAAGTGTTTTAAAGCCTTGAGTGTAAACTCGAAAGGGAAAGCCCAACGAGGACAATGTTTGCTAGCGGTGGGCTTAGGTCGTTACAAATATTTTAATTATTTAGCCTATGTTCGGTGGGTCATAATTTTTAATTTTGAGTTTATTTTTTTAGAAAAATGAAAGAAAAGAAAGTGTTGACTTGAAGAGGATGTGCAGGTGGGCACATAAATCCAGCAGTGACATTTGGGCTTTTGTTGGCCCGAAAGGTGTCACTTGTCCGGGCCGTGATGTACATGGTGGCCCAATGCTTAGGGGCCATTTGCGGAGTTGGGCTCGTGAAGTCCTTCCAGAAGGCCCACTTCCAGAAGTACGGCGGTGGGGCAAATGGGCTCGCCGACGGCTACACCGTCGGCGTTGGACTGGCGGCGGAGATCGTGGGGACGTTTGTGTTGGTGTATACAGTCTTCTCTGCTACAGATCCCAAACGAAGCGCAAGAGATTCCCACGTTCCTGTATGCAACTTTCCATAACTTTCCCTCTTTTACATCATAATTTTAATCTTAATTTCATAAATTATATTTAAAAGATTAAAAATATTTATATTTTAATTTTTTTTTATAATTTTAATTATTATATTTTATTATTTCTACTTTCAATAAAAAGTTAAAATTAGTTTATTCTTCAATTTTGTATAAAAAAAAAACAAATAATCTTTTTTTTTTGGGTATTTTATTTTAATGGTCAGTTAATTTTCTTGTTATTGAAAGAATTATAAAGTGGATTCATGTGTTAGGCACCAACTTTCACCTGTAGATCAGAACTTATTTTCTTACAAGTAATAATAAATAAATAAATAAATAAATAAATAAATAAATTGCTGTTATCTTTTTGGTCAAATGAAAGTTATGAACTTTATTTTACTTGGCTTCACATGCATACAAATCCTTATCTTCTTTTTTTGTCCTTGAAGGTTTTGGCGCCACTCCCAATTGGATTTGCAGTGTTCATAGTTCACCTGGCCACCATTCCAGTCACTGGCACTGGAATCAACCCAGCAAGGAGCTTGGGATCTGCTGTTATTTTCAACCATCAAAACACTTGGAATAATCATGTTAGTTTCTATTTTCATCCACCGTCGAACTTTACCTAAACATATATTAATTTAAACGTAACTTAACTAGTTAAGGTATGTACTCTGACTTATAGACTAGAAGCTCGAGTCCCTCCATTCTCACATATTGTTTATACTTTGACTAATAGATTAGAAGCTCGAGTCCCTCCATTCCCACATGTTGATTCTACTCTGACTAATAGATTAGAAGTTTGAGTCCCTCCACTCCCACATGTTTATACTCTGACTAATAGACTACAAACTCGAGTCACTCAATTCCCACATATTATTTCTACTATGACTAATAGACTAGAACTTCGAGTCTCTATTCTCACATGTTGTCGAACTAAACAATTTATCTAAACTTCTTGATTCGATAGCAATATATAAAATGATCTAACGTTTCAAAAACAGAAACGTGATGACTCAAATATTTTAGTTTTGGGAACTAATTGGTATGAGTATTTGTTTGCAGTGGATATTTTGGGTTGGACCCTTCATAGGAGCAGCCATTGCAGCTTTCTACCACCAATTCATCTTGCGAGCAGGTGCTGTAAAGGCTCTTGGGTCATTTAGAAGCAACCCAAATGTGTGATGATCATAATGCTGCCTTTAATTAGCTCCTGGAGATTTAAGAACCAGATGTTAACACTAGTATTTGCATTTTGAGTTTTTATTTCCCATGTATGCTTGAGACTTTCATGAATCTCCTAGTTCTTTCTTTTGCTATTGGAATGGCTAAAAATAGTTTTTCTTTTTTAAACATGTGTTGAAAAGGGTAGGCAAAGAGCTACTTCTCGGACATGGCAAAGTTCGATATTGTGTCGGGAGAAAAATACGTAAAAACACAAACTAGAATATATATCGCCTATTCCACAAGTTAATCCCAACAACTAAGAGTTATAAAATAGTAATAAAATAGATTAGAAAAAAGAGACGTGTATTTATATCATTTGTGGGTGCGACTAACTCTCCGTGAGGTAACAGTATAATTTTCCAAGGTAAAAGAGAACTTGACAAACTCACCCATTTGAGTTTTGCTCACGTCCGGAATGATTTCAAGGACATATTCGAAGAAATTCTGGCTATTAGTAGTCGGTTTGTAGATTACGAACAATAAATGACTGAACTTAATAGGATAGCAATTACAACTCAAAAAGTAATAAGTATTTGGGCATGTACTTAGAAACCTATAGAAAGGTATACTGACTACCAGTCAAATCTAGGACTATGTCTAATCTTCTCCAATTGCCCGTTCTATGAAAGAAGCCCAAAGCTAAAATTTGGAGATTTAATTAAAAAACAAAAAAAAAAATTGAAAAAATGAAAGAGAAAAAGTGGATTGGCACTAGAATGTATCAAAAAAGAAAAGTGAATACATTTTGGAATGTACCAAGGAGAGAGAGACGTAATGATTCTCCCTCCACCACATCCTCACCTCATATGGCACAAAGATGAATGGATTTTCCAATACCTTTCAATGGAATCTTAGTCTTTCATCTTTATGCACAGTGAAATGAATAAATTTAATATATTCCAAAAAAGGAAATAGGATAATTACATCTTAATCATACAATTTATGAGATCCCACGTTTATTGGAGAAGAGAACGAAACATTCTTTATAAGGGTATGGAAACTTCTCCCTAGTAGACGCGTTTTAAAACCTTAAAGGAAAGCTCGAAAGGAAAAGTCCAAAGAGGACAATATCTACTAGCTGTGAATTTGGACTATTACATAATTGTTCTAACGAGTTAAATAAAAAATTAAAAGAAAGTAGAGTTCAAACAATCTCTTCAATTCACCCCATAAGCTCCTTGATTTGAATATTTATGAAGCCTTTCACTCAACAATGAACTAAAGGATTCCAAACTTTAGGACATGACTGGTCCCCATACCAATTTTCTTTTCGCCTATCCTGTTCTTGTGATTCTTCTTTTGCTTTCTTTTTATCACAAATCTCAAATCAACTGAAAGCAACCATGACTCTGTTTCACTTGCGCTTAGAATTCTATGGCACGCCTACATAATTTCTTTACATTACATCATATCTTCTCCTTCTAAACATAATATTGTTCCTTTTGCTTTCTGGGTCAGGGCATAAGACCCCACAGGTAAGCTAATGGCTAAACATTTTATTGAGATTCGTGCTTTTTGAGCTCTATATAAACTCATCTTCTTTGATGAAGTATAAAGAATACGTGAAAAAAAGAATTCATTACTTACAGCATTTGGAGAAAGAATGGCACCCATCTCCACCATCTTGTCTTTTCTCTTCTCTTCTCTATCCTTTTTATCTGATCCTTGGCCTGAGGCCTTCTTTGGTCTCCCTCTTGAAAGCTCTGCGCAGCTTTCCTTCATTGGGTATGCTGTTTTTAACACAGATGCTTCAATTGTGTTATAATTTATATATCAAGATTGTCTGCAAATCAAACTGTTCATCTTCTTTCAAGTTTTCAGCAAGTGCTGCTCAATTTCAGTCAGCAATCTGCATGAGATTTGTAAACTTTTTTGTTGAAGAGGAAGACTGTTGCAGATAAGTAATGGTATTTTCCTAGTTTTCTTCTGTTTAGAATTTTTTAGATAAACTTTCAAATGCACGAGTCTATGGTGGCACTGAAGATCAAGATCTCGAAGAAAAAAAACAAAATCATTTCGTTCAGACAATAGAGATGCAAAGATCGTAATGTAATGTAGTTCGTTCAAATTTTTATAGCTTTAAATCTATGATATAGCCCGTTTATCTTGGCATGAAATTTGCTTTCAGGTGTTGAGTAGAAGCATGCAATTAAATTAAGGGAAATAGTGAACACAAACAAATAAAACCAATTCAGATAAGAAAAGGCTTTTACCTTACTAGGACTGCAATTTCAGAGTGATCGTGAAGAACTTGCTCCACCATTATACCACATGCAAATAAACCTAGCCCAAGCAGTGCACGCCGCTCTTTCAATAATGCCTTGGAGTTGGTGTCCTCAGAATCCCTATTGCACATTGCCCATGCCATTGCTGGGGGGAGAACTCCATACAGCATTGTCATGCAGTATCCTCCCTGTTTCGTATTAGAGTTTCAGAGAAACAGGAAAACCAAGCACTGAATTTCTGTTGCGCCATTACTTATAACAAAAACCTATGGTCTGGTGGGCGTTTCTGTGTAACTCATCTACTGAAACAGAGATATCAACGGTTGAATTACAAAAGAAATAAGCTCAATGCTATATAGAATCTTTTTATGTCATATGAATCAAAAGAAATAAGTTCAATGTTAACAAATTTTATTTTAGTTTAGGAATGTTAATAGGTAAATATAATTGCATTAGTTTGATACATTTCAATTCAAAACCAGACGGAAAAGTGGTTCATTCAGATTGGTTCTTAAAAGTTTTAGCCTAATCACATTGCCACTTACTTGGGTTACTCTTCTCCCTTTGTTTTAATACCTCTCTCAGTTCTATGTTCCGGGAGTTACTAAGTTATGGTGGAGCACAAACAGTCTTAGTTCATCAAATTCACAGAGCTGTGTTCTCTAACAACTAAAGACTTCTGTTTCTTAAAAAAGAATAATTATTATTATTATAAAAAATAAAAAAACTAAAACAACCATGGACTGCATATTCTAAGAAGCTAGCCGTCAAGTGGATCTCAATTCTCAATAAAGCATCTTCTAAATTCAGAACATTTATTTAATTTTCAGTTTAATTAATTTTAGATAAGTTCCAGCACATTTTTTAATTATTATGCAACAACGGACACAAAATAGAACAAAATATGACCCTGGTTTAACAATGGAGTTCTCCATAAGAACATAAAAGAATGAGGCTTTGAAAACTGTCGACAAGAAATTATGAAAATAAAATTATGCAGATAAAATATGGCTTTACCTTGCTACGATTGCAATTTCAGAATATCTTGAAGAACTTGCTCCACCATAATACCACAAGCAAATAAACCTAGCCCAAACAGTGCAGGCCTCTCTCTCAATAATGTCTTGAAGCTAGTGTCCTCAGATTCCCTACTGTGCATTGCCCATGCCATCGCTGGGGGCAGAACTCCATACAACATCGTCATACAGTATCCACCCTGTTTCATTCAGAGCATCAGAGAAACAGAAAGACCAAGCATTGAATTTCTGTTACATAATAAAGGACATCCACATGATTTTTACTGATACAAGGGCTGATACTTTCAACTAAAATCAATGGGTTGATTGGTAAAATTATGAAATCTAAACAGAATCTTTTTATGTCATATGATTTTGCTAAGTACCACAAATACATGAAAATTGTTGAATATTTTCTTACATCTTCAATATATTTCAGCTATTTGGTTTCATTGAAAGTTTTAGCTTAATCACATTGCCACTTACCATCAAAAAACCGTTCCCTTTCAAATGGAAAAAATGCTTCATGATACCATGGAATGGAAATGGAATGATACCGCTCATGGTGTACTTTTGGATTAAAAATATGGAACCACTCTTCTGAAGTTCACTTAGGTAAAAGCATTACAAAGTTCATGGGGATAAGAAGCTGACTACAATATGAACTATAAAGACAAAATCACTTCAAAAATTAATTTTAGAAATAGAAATTACACTTGAGATTTCCACAGTAGAATGTGCAAATACCTAACCTAAGCTTGAGTTATATGATTTATGTCCTTAAAACGCATATTCAGTGTTTATAGGGCAGAAGGCACCTGGTTATGTTTACTTACTGCAATATCTGTGGCAGCGGAGAATGAATCTGGATTAGTAGTGGACACAAGAAGAGAGGGACCAACAGCAATTGCCATGGCAATGAGGCTTACTTTATTCATTTCCCACCAATTCCTCTTTAAAGCGACATTTGAAGGCTCCTGTCACAGCCAACATATGGTTGTTGCATTAGTTTTGCCTTTTGCAGTTCAATATGTAAATCTACAGTAGACATTTTTGTAGGCAGCCTTACTTGCAAAGTCTCTGATGTAGAGAAATTAAAAATGATGTTACGGAGTTGCTCCTTGAAAAACTCAGAGAAGCTTAGTAATGTCCCCAGCATAGATGTTCCAACAGCAAGAAGCGAGAACCATTCTACCATGTAAGAAACTCCACTCCATCTCACTCTATCAAACCATAAACTTCTTTCAGAAACTTGCTGAGATAATAATTCAGCATATCATTAAATAAAGCTACTCCGTGAAATCTTGAAGGTTTGGAAAGAACTACCTCAGGAGCAATTCAACAGGATCGACTACTTGATCAGCTTGCGCTAACAAGCCAAACGCTATTGCGTCCCAGACAAGTAGTGTTAGCAATGGAATAAAGCTACCAATCAAAACTGAAACTCTTAGGCGAGGAAGGTCGCCTTCCAAGTAAGCACACAGAACTGCCAAAGTATAAGATTTAATCAACCTAATGGGGGCTATAGCTTCATACTTTTACAGATCATGGGAACAAAGTAATGGTAAATGAAACAAATTTCGCATATAATTTTACCTGGTATTACATCATGATATACCAAAGCAAAGATAATAACAGGTATTGTAGTTGGGACCTTTGTCCAGTCTCCTCCACCTTCCATTGCAAACCATCCCCCAAACTGAACTGCTAACACCTCAATTCCCAGAAGTAAACCTGCAACATTTAACGAATCATATTTATCTACGTTCGTGTAAAAAACCTGTGACAAATTTGGGAGGTTGATTTCAAAACATTTTTCTAGTTTCGTTTATAAAACTGGTTCTAGAATTTAACATCAAGTAGAAGATCATACTACATTAGGAATCCTTGTGTAAGTTTACAGCATCAAAACTTAAAAGTTATGACAAATTCTGTTCTTCTAGAAAACAGATGAGTTTTAATTGAATTTTTGTGCCAAAATCAGGAGTGCTTCAAGGTGAGAGGCAATGATACTGACTCAAATCATGAAGATACCTATCATACAAGCTGTAAGCCATTGGTTGACTTGATCTACGGTTCTAGTCCTACCAACAGAGATGAGCAGAGTAAAAACTAAGGTGAAAAAGAGGCCTGAAAGTGGAGCTGGAAGATTGAATGATTGGAGAAGGATCTCTTCGGACTTGGAAATATAGGCAACCATGGAAATGTAGCCCAGGAAAACATAGGCAACTGTGGCCAGGGTTCCTCCAAAGTCCCCTAGCGTCTCCTGGGCCATAGTCCTCACTGAAATCATCTTCATCCCCGTCTCTCCCCGTTCAGTCTTCTTCCTCCGCATAAACACACTAATCTCAACGAGCAACAGTGCTTCTACCAGAAGAAAGCCCCAACATAGTATTATCGATATGGAACTGGGAAAAAATCCCTGCCACAAAATTACAAGACATTTTCTGAAAAAAGATATAAACGTGGACGCAATAAAAAATAGTATATAGTGGAAATTGGTTGGGAGGGAGTCCCATATTAGTTAATTTTAGAAATGATCATGAGTTTATAAGTAAGGAATACATCTCCATTGGAATGAGGCATTTTGGGGAAACCAAAAGTAAAGTCATGAGAGTTTATTCTGAAAGGTGTAGTCAAAAGTGACTTAAGTGTCGAACAAATAGTATACTTCGTTCGAGGAACTCAAAGAAAGAGTTGAGCCTCGATTAAGGGGAGGTTGTTCAAGAGCTCTATAAGCCTCAACAGAGATTCTATAATATACTTTGTACGAATATACTTTGTACGAGGGAGGATTTCTGAGGATTCTTAAATGGGCTAATGATCTTATAAATAATGGAGAGGTGTGTTCTAACCCTTTACTTTCTAAAATGAAATTGCTAAATTTAAGAGATAGAAAGAGAGGGAGAGAAACTTACAGCCGGAGATGCTTTCTCTGGAAGTGCAAGAATCCCCGATCCGACACTGGTACCGATTATGAAAGCCACGGCTCCTGCTATAGTTCCTTTCTTCTCAGGCAACGTAACAGGCTGTAGTTCTTCTCTTGATTCTACCCTTTCTTCTTTTTGCTCGTAGCAGAGAAACCAACGTTTGTATCTATAACAACATGTAAAAAAATCGAAACTCAAAATTCATACTAAACATGGCGTGAAAACACGGCTAACTTGGTGAATTAAAGAAGCATCGTCAAAGCGATGAACGGTACCAGCTACCTCTTTGATCTTTCGCCGATTCGGCGGCGATTTTGCAGATTGGTCCTTGAACATGGCAATGGCCATGGCGATCGAGGAAGAAGTTGCAGGCATCGGTCGTGGGTTTTAGGGCATGACAAGGTGGAAGAGACGACGACGGAGAGTAAATTCATGGAAGACAAAAGAGTTGAAGAAGGAGATTGGAAAGTTATGGCTGGAAATGAATCCCACTACGAGTGGTAGTTTCCAAATATGTTGGAGAAGATTCCGTGGGGTCCAATTTTGAAAGATTCGATTCCAAGATTGCAGAATCGGGCCCATAATGGATCCGAACCAAAGATGGGCCTTTATATATCAGCCACCACAATTGGGCCAGTGTTGGGCCCACCAAAATCTCCAAAGGCCCAGCTCATTCTAACCACTCTTCCTTTTCTTTTTTCTCTTAATGCAAAAAACTAATATTCATATATAAATTTAAATATTATTAGGCCCTTCACGTCCATTTTGCACTCTAAATATAATAAAAAAAATTAAATAATTTATTTTATGTATTTTAGTCTTTTATATTTGGAGATAATTAACATGTCTGTCACTTATGAAATCACAAAAATAAATTAATTTAAATAAAAAATCTAAAATTAAATTCAAAAAAGTTAATTATGACATCTCTATTTTTTAAAAAAGGAATTATAGATATATGTCTTGTTTATTTATTTATTATTATTATTAATAAGACAACATTATTTCACTTGATTATTCAATGAAATGGAGGGTAGTATCGTCCTAATAAAAAAATTGGTATTTTTGATTAATGCAATGCAAGAGGGTAGTATCGTCTTAATAAAAAAATTAGTGCGCATCCACTCTATTGTTCTTCACCCACGGGGTTTTATAGTTGATAAACCGGACCCGCAAGTAACGGCAAGAAAGAACCGCGGGCAAAAGAACAAAAACATAACGGACTTTTTTGTAATTTTACCGTTCATCACGGACAAACAAGAAAAGACCGATATCGACCGTCCGATCATGACTCAGACATGACAGCGACCGTTGATGCTCAATCGGACCATGCCACAATGGCAAAAACTAAGTCACAATGATCCAAAACGGCGTCGTATCGTGCATCGAGATTAGTTTTCTTGTACAAATGGAAATGAAAAGGGTCAGTCCTCTGCGACTGCAGCAGGTTTCTTCTTCCATCTTCGTCGTCCTCCTCTGTCTCTGTTTCATTTCAGTTTCTTCTAATTTCTTTCCTTTTTGTTCTTTATTTCACTGATTCTTGCTCGTAATCTTGCTTTTTGTGCATGGATGATATTGATCATGATATAGACGCATAGCTTATCTTCTTCAGAAGTGAAAAAAGTCAGAGAAAGGGGCTATCGGCTTTCTTTATTACTGCTACTACTTTTATAGGAGTTGCGAAGGAAAGTGGATTTTCAGATAGGACAATCAAGTTCTGGATACTGATAATCGAAACACCTGTTTGTGCTAAGGGGATGATTTGAAAGATCAATCGGTTGGTTGAGTATTATTGTCGAGATGACGTGACTTATTATTCGGTGTTCTTTTAATTCTCACGAAATTTCGCGGTTGTATTGCTTTGATTTCGTCTTGAGTAGTTTATGTTGTTTATCAATCGGAGATTTGTAGCGGAAGTCAAATATGTTTTTCTGGACGTTGAGATCGTGTTTGACTTGTTCTGGTTGAGCTGCCAGAACGAATTTTCTTTGTTTGGCGAGGTTTCGTAACGGAGGAGTTTTGTTGTTTGGAGGTTAGGCTGGACATGCGAGAAATGAGATTGGAATATTTATTGAAAAGCAAACTGAATACGGAAGGTTGTTTTCCTTGTTGTTAGTTTGTTTGCTTCTGGAAGCACGAATTTCTTGGCTGTTGATTGATTTGAACTGTGGAATCAATTCGTTAAGAAATGCAGGAGCCGAGTATAGATACCGATAAGCTAAGTTATGAAATCTTCTCAATTCTTGAGAGCAATTTCCTCTTTGGCTACGATGATCAGAAGCTATGGATTCCTAAGCAGATATCTCCCGCTGTTGATGGCAAACCAATATCCGATACTGCAACTCAAGAACACGCTCGACTAGAAGAAAGCTGTGGCGCTTCGTCGATAAGAAACCAGAGAGGCAAGGTTTGCATTCTGAGCATCGATGGCGGAGGTATGGGAGGGATTCTCTCAGGTAAGGCTCTGGCTTACCTCGAACAAGCGCTCAAAACAAAATCGGGAAATCCTGACGCCAGAATCGCCGATTATTTCGATGTTGCTGCGGGAGCTGGTGTAGGAGGCATTTTCACTGCGATGCTTTTCGCAACGAAAGACCATAGTCGGCCGATGTATAAAGCAGAGGACACTTGGCGGTTCTTGGCCGATCAAGGCCAGCGGTTCTACCGTTCGAATTCCAGTTCCGGTGGAGGATTGTTTGGGCGGTTGCTCAAAATCAATCGTACAAATTCCACCAGTTTAGCCACTGCCGCTCTAGAAAAAGCGATGAAAGAGGCTTTCACCGATAAGGAACGGAGTTTAACCCTAAAAGATACTCTGAAACCAGTTCTGGTACCTTGCTACGACCTGTCAACAACAGCGCCATTTTTGTTCTCGCGAGCCGATGCCCTAGTAAAGGATAGCTTCAACTTCCGGCTCTGGGAGGTTTGCAGAGCAACATCGGCCGAACCGGCAATATTTGAACCGGTAACATTGAGGTCTATCGACAACCAAACCAATTGCCTGGCCATCGACGGCGGTTTGACAATGAGCAATCCGACGGCGGCCGCGATCACGCACGTACTGCACAACAAACAAGAATTTCCATTCGTGCGAGGAGTCGAAGACCTTCTGGTTCTATCCTTAGGAACCGGCCAGCCATTTGAGGCCCGCCGCGATTACCGTCAGGTCAAAAGATGGAAGGAGAAGGAGTGGATTCGGCCCATGAATCGAATCTCCGGTGAGGCCTCGGCCGACATGGTGGACCAGGCCGTCGCCACGGCCTTCGGTCAGTCCAAGAGCTCTAATTACGTGAGGATTCAGGTACATCAATCTGACACGTGCACACAACTGCACATTATTCCTATTTCCAAGAACTTTCTTTTCTTTATTCGTCATGCTTCTCATTTTTAAATGAAAACATTCTTTTAAAATAATAATTTCAACGACAGATGCATAAATTTTAACCATAAAGTCTAAATTGGATTTCCTTTTATTAGCATAAAAAGAACTCATTTTTATAATTCAATAATTAAATATTGTGGTTCCATTAAAGTAGTGATGGTGGGTTTGTTAGTCATTAGACAATTAAAACACTACGGCAGATGTGTATAGGTTATGTCAAATAAAATGTTTGAACTAATTAGTTGAGTTCTAATTGGTTGGTGGTACTTAAAAAAATTTCAGAATATATAATTCAACCCAACCATGTATTGGATAATAGACTTGTTGATTATCATGTCTTGTGAATATTTCTAGTAAAAATCCATTTGATATTAACTATATAAAATCTTTAAACAAATTAAGCTTATAAACATTTTTTTTAACGTTAATGTGATATTTTAAATTCTAGCCTTTTTTTTTAATTCTATTTTTAAAATTTAACTACAAATTCAATTGTGTAAGCAAAAATGGTGGGAATTTTTTTAAAAAGAAACAATTATCAAAAAAATTAGGTGAGAGTTTGGGGGGGAAAAAATTTAGCTGTTTATTGGGTCGAGTTGGCCCTCCTGCAAGCGAAAAGGTCACGGGAACCTGTGTCGTTTTGCTACCCATAGTGATTATTATACTTGCGGCATTTTCTGTTTTGGCTTTCATTCTAAATAATCAGCCCCCACTTTAAGGCAAAACTGATAGATAATCCATCTAAGTTTTCTTTAGAGGAGTTTGCTTCCACTAGAATAGTAATGTGAAACAAGTCCATTCCCCAACCAGGCTTTGTAGCTAACCTTCTAATAATCTTTTTGCAAATTTCCCCAAAAGAAGGAAATATAGTTGTTCGTGCGGGTAGGGGTCTAGATACTGGGGGGGAAAGGAGCATGGATTTGGTAAAAAGCTGACCACAAGTATGTTTAGTGTCCATCGGTGCATAATACAAAACGATACTTAGCTCTTTGCTTTGTTACTATCGCGGGGTTCATGTATGGATGGTACCAGGAAATGGACCTTAAAGCCTATGTAAGTAAATATATGATGGGTGATTGTGCTTCCTTCTCCGTAATTGCGGAGGTTTTCTGGTCTTGTAATATGGTGCATTTTTCTGCTGTAATTGGAGAATATTCTCTTAATCTTCCTCTTGCACATTTATTCTGGAGTTCTAACAATGGGGTCATTTTGATCGAGGATATATGTCTTAACCAATGAGAACAATTTCATTTTCAAACAACATACTTCATTACAAGTAGCGTTGTTTGTAGCTCTTAACTCAAAATAGTAAGAGGGGAATGAACTTCATAATCTACTAATTGAAATTCTCCCAGAAATATTGAGTGAAATGACAGAACTACTAATGTACATGATACTCAAATCCAGTCATTATTGGTATTTCAGGCACTTGGATCAAGCTTAGGCCAGGGTGAACCTAGCTCTACTGATTCCAATGCTGGTAATGTAAAGATGCTGGTTGAATTGGCAGATGAGGTCCTTAAGCAGAAGAATGTTGAATCTGTTCTCTTTGGAGGAAAGCGATTTGCAGAGCAAACCAACTCCGAGAAGCTCGACTGGTTTGCTGGAGAATTAGTGCTTGAACATCAGAGGCGGGGCTGCAGAATTGCTCCCACTGTGGCTTTCAAGCAAGCTACCACCCAGGAAAGTGTCAAGGAGCGCTCATAATGAAGAAAAGTAAGCTCACTCTTTCTTCTGCTTTTTTTCATAATTTGTCACTTTATTTTCATCTTGTTTGCTGAATCCTTCTTATAGTCGCTTATATTACGTATGAAAGAAAAAAACCAAACAAATTGTAAGACTAGAAATCTAGACCACCACTCCCAAATTTTAGTTAATGTAGCACGGTGATCTGATAACTGAAATAAGAATAAAAAGTTAAGTTGATTATCTACCAATTTCTTGCAAAGACTTTCTACAAATGTAGCGTGGTAGATTCAAGCATCTACTCTCTTGATCATGGAAACATGTTTTATACTTGTTGAGCTATTATTAACCATTTCTTGTAAAAGT